TAATTCAATTTGGGTTAGCATTATCAGTATTAGGTAGCAGTTTGATAGTATGCACATATGAGCCCTGACTGACCCCCAGGGGCTGATGGGTGGGGCCAAAAAGGGTTGAATTGACTGAAATTTCAAAAATCTTCTTCTCAAGACCCAGATATGGTAGAATCAAATACTCTTCATAGATGGAAGGGTCTTTAGGTGCTTTACCAAAATTGTGAATTTCTTGACAAAATTTATTATGGTTATAATGGCAAATGATACTTTGAAAATTACATGTTAATAACTTGATTGGAATTATAACCTTGAGTTGACAGTTTGATACTTTGAAAATTTTGAGCCAGCCCTACCCCCAAGGGCTGTAGGGTGGGGCTCGAAGGAGTCCGTGTGCTAAAATTTCTTCATTTTCCTTGTTTAGAATCAGAGGTGCTAGTTTCAAATACTTTTTAGTCTGAAATCTGTATGCTAGATATTGAATAAGGTGGGTTTTTTTTGTTTTTTGTCACTTTGAGTAATATTTCTGTTCATGTTAAAAACAAAATCAACTCTCTGTATAAATATATCAGGTGACCGTTAAGGCCCATGGGCCTCTTGTTTGTATTTATCAGGAGGCTTGCTGAGAGCTAAACTTAAAAATCCTCTCCCAGGGGTTGAGAGATCTGTTTGCATTATACAAAGGAATGATTTTTTTTCTTTTTTCGCACACAATTTCCTGTCACACACAGAGTTGTAATGGTGATGTAATGCACTGTGCCATCATCAATGAAATGTGAGACAAATTTGATGACACTACCCAGTGGTTATATTTTTCAGATTGCCGTATTTATCCTGCAATAAGCCCAGGGGCCAACACATAATCTCTGACTGAAAGTATGGGGATGGGTTTATTACAGGACAATGAAACAGCTTGTGTTGGCATTTCTTCCAAATAGCAACATATATTAGTGGTCTTAATACCAATTAAGTATCGGCTTATTACTCGACAGATACAGTAATAGCACATGTGAGCTGTTTTTCCTTAAATGTTGGTAAAGACACGGTGAAATTTCCCTAGCAAAACTGGGAATGCATGTGCACTCACGAATTGTGGGAGAAATGATTGATAATGATGCTTGCACCATTGAGAACAACTCCACCTGAAGCTTATCACGGGGAAAATGAAAAGATTAAGGATACACTAGAACATGTATATACATGTATATGTCTCTGGTTGGTGTCTTTGATACCTTGCTTTTGGCCTTGGTCTTGGGTGTTAATTCTCTTATTGAAGAAGGCTATGGAAACTGTCTTCAGACAAACCAGTGTCCTTAAAATTGGTACTTATGCTGCTTTAATTCTGCTTGATGTTCTGTTTTTTATAAGTTTTGTAGTAGGGAATGGTTAGCCTGGTGTCAGAATAATTTGAACTGGGTGATATTTGTATGGTTATTGTATGAAGCTTTACGTACTCTGTTAGAATCCTTGCCAGTATGATGTCCCTTTGATTTTGATTTTTAGCATGAAGATGAGCAATACAGGCCCTCTGGGCCTCTTTTTTCTCACTTGCGATGGAGGTCATGAAGGCAGGATGTAGGCATCACTTTCATTCGTTTTAAATTCCAATTTTGAATTTGAATTGAAAATATTTATTTTACATTTAAGATTTCAAATCTAAAAAATATTCTTCTGACCTTCAATTGATGTATGACTCTAACACTTTAACACCATAGATACATCTTGGACAATACATATTATTACATTCATATTCTTTTACAACAATTATAAAACACGTTATTATCACTCTTGTTGCGCCGATGTTAGTGCTCGGGTGGTCTTAATGTGAGAGGAAACTGGAGTACCCTCAAACCCACATAGTCAGGAAAATGACCCATACCTTTTCATGTTCAATCGTGGAATTGAATCCTGGCCGCCTTGGTGAGAGGCGAGTGTGCTATTGTCTGATACATGTACACCTGACAATCTCCAGCATTAGAGCAATATCATCAATTAACTCATCACGTATTGCCCAGGTTCTGAAATTATTTATTGTTGATGATTAACCCTTTCACCCCTATGTAACTTAAGTAAACTTTACTATGCATTGATCTGGATGAGTCCATTATGGTCTACAGTGATCAAAGGATTATATGTGGGAACAGGTAGACATATAATTCTGTGAAATTATTGTTACAGTTCAATCAGCTACTTGTGATTTTGAGATGGCTCCTTTCCTGTGTGGATACCTAAATGTGTCCGACGGTCTTGTTGGAGTAGCACCGTGGTCCCAAGTAAATTATAACGACAAATGGAATGAGGCTGCGTCCTATGCTGTCAATCAAACAGGTAACTTGACTCTAGACTATCAATCATACAGGTAACTCGACTCTAGACTATCAATCAAACAGGTAACTTGACTCTAGCCTATCAATCAAACAGGTAACTTGACTCTAGACTATCAATTAAACAGGTAACTTGACTCAAGACTATCAATCAAACAGGTAACTTGACTCTAGACTATCAATCAAACAGGTAACTTGACTCTAGACTGTCAATATAACAGGTAACTTGACTCTAGACTATCAATCAAACAGGTAACTTGACTTTAGACTATCAATCAAACAGGTAACTTGTCTCTAGACTATCAATCAAACAGGTAAATTGACTCTAGACTATCAATCAAACAGGTAACTTGACTCTAGACTGTCCATCTAACAGGTAACTTGACTCTAGACTGTCAATCATACAGGTAACTTGCATTTGACTGTAGACTATCAATCAAACAGGTAACTTATCTCTAGACTATCAATCAAACAGGTACCTTGACTCTAGACTATCAATCATACAGGTAAATTGACTCTAGACTATCCATCAAACAGGTAACTTGACTCTAGACTATCAAGCAAACAGGTAACTTGACTCTAGACTATCAATCATACAGGTAAATTGACTCTAGACTATCAATCAAACAGGTAACTTGACTCTAGACTATCAATCAAACAGGTATCTTGACTCTAGACTATCAATCCAACAGGTACCTTGACTCTAGACTATCAATCAAACAGGTAACTTGACTCTAGACTATCAAGCAAACAGGTAACTTGACTCTTGACTGTCAATCATACAGGTAACATGACTCTAGACTATCAATAAAACAGGTAACTTGACTCTGGACTGTCAATCAAACAGGTAAATTGACTCTTGACTATCAATCATACAGGAAAATTGACTCTAGACTATCAATCATGCAGGTAGCTTGACTCTAGACTGTCAATCAAACAGGTAAATTGACTCTTGACTATCAATCATACAGGAAAATTGACTCTAGACTATCACTCCAACAGGTACCTTGACTCTAGACTATCACTCCAACAGGTACCTTGACTCTAGACTATCAATCATGCAGGTAACTTGACTCTAGACTATCAATCAAACAGGTAACTTGACTCTAGAATATCAAACCTATTCAAAAGAACCCCAATCAGTGAAATTAAAGCTTCTTCACTAAATAATTTTTGCAGGTTTTAACAATATCAGACACTGCAAAATTGCTTTTCACTTTGTTTTCCCAGAAAAAAAGCATATGTGTGTGATATTTTTCCAAAGCTTCAATAAGGCACATGTAGGGGGAAAAAATGTAGAAAAAAATGCTTAAAACTTAAATAACATATATAACAGTTGTACTGTATGATTAACATGCAGAAACATCAGTTTTTAATGTATATTATATAAATGCATAACAAATATGGCTAGACACTCTTCACTTTGGTCAACATAAGAGATAAATCAAAATTGTAAATATTTTTTTTTTTCAGGATCCTTCATGTTTGCCGATCGTAACTACGTAAACTCATATGTGACAGCCAAATTTCTGTCGCCTCCCATCAACAGCACCGGTACAACCTGTATCCAGTTTGACTATTTTGTATCACCGATACGCCACAGTAATATTTATTACTCTAACGCCAGTTTTTTGGTGTACGTCACTCATCAGAATGGTAACACAAGTAGCATCTGGCAGCAGCACTATGATGTATCACGTTCAAGCTGGAGTCGGGGACAGTTTCAGATTGATCTTGACAGTAACATCAATCGTATCATGATTGAAAAGCCAGACCACTTAGCAGCAATCGCTGTAGACAACGTATTGGTCACTTCAGGGAACTGTCCAGTCCTAGGTAGGAGAAATAGAAACATTTAAGTTCAGTTGTTTGGCCTTATATAGAAATTATTGGAAAATCAACTTCAGAAGTGGTCTCATCTTGGGTTACGATAATTGGAATGTTATTTTTCGGGACTTGAAAATCTCATGTAAGGACATTTTAATATCTAATGGAAACTTTATTTATTTTGCAACAATTATAAAAAAAAGTTTGTACAGCTAATGTATTAATCACTCTTGTTGGCCTGGATGTTAGCACGCAGGGGGTCTTACTGTGGGAGGAAACTGGAGTACCCATTTTAATATGCTAGTACTTGTCTTGTTAAAATGTTACTTGTCGGATTACATGTATTTCTAACACCTTATAACTCATATTTTGAAATCTAAAATGATCGTTGTGGCTTCTGATTTCCAAATATGGGAGATATAGACGATGAGGTACTTTGTAGGGTCCCTGCAGAACTGCCAGCATTCTAATTGTCTCAAGTTAAGAGCCTTCTGGTTTGCAGATAAGTTGTAAATGTGATTAAATAAGTTCACCATTTTCAGATTGTGAGAGCAATGAATTTACCTGTTTAAATCGTTGTATATCCACGGTGATAAACGATGTTGGGTATATGATATTTTTTACTATCTTCAGATTGTGAGAGCAATGAATTTACCTGTTTAAATCATTGTATATCCACGGTGATAAACGATGTTGGGTATATGATATTTTTTACTATCTTCAGATTGTGAGAGCGATGAATTTAGCTGTATGGATCGTTGTATCCCTGTTGATAAACGATGTGATAAAGTCAAAGACTGTTTCCTGGGAGAGGACGAACAAAACTGTGGTAAGTGGTTAGATTTAAAGTTATGTTTAACTCTTCTCGTACCTAACTGTAAACATCGTATCTCTGGTAAGACTTTGAAAACTCAATAAGATTCTAAGCTCACTTGGTTGAAGATTAATGAAATCTTTTTCCTCTAACTTGTCTTAGCATCTCAGTTTCACAGTGTAGATTTTATTTTATCTACAAAATCAGGAATCTTGCAACATCAAAACAATATTTTTAACGACAAAATAGAATATTTCTAATGCAGGTTATAAATTTCAAGTTGTTAACACGTGAATGAATGCATCGCTGTGTAAAGATTTGGCGAAATGTCAACGTAAAGGTACAAGAGACAGGTCAGATGAGATACAAAAATCTAGCACGGGGTATGACGTGGGATGTCTCTGTCCGAGTACGAGAAGAGCTTTTCTTGCATACTAGACAATTCTATCCGACCCACTGGTCTGGATCGCTAACACCTGCAGACTGGCGAGGGAATTGTAGTGAACTTTCGGGGTCAAGCTATTGTTTGTGACATCAATTGCTGACGTTTTGGGGTCAGTCAGGGTCATTGACGTCATTAACAATCGCCATCCGGTCTCATATATAAATGAGAAATGTGCGGACGGTTTACAACTTTGCTAGAAGAGCAGCTGTTTTAACAGGTTAAAGATAACAAGCAAGAAATAGAATCCATCTCTGATGTGAGGTATAGATAAGGTCATTCAAACCATCAGGATAAAATATTGAGCAGGATCGAGACCCTTGGCAAAGCCTCAGGTCTCCTGATCAATATTTTATCACTTGGGGTTGAATGACATTATCCATACCTTGAATCAGGGATGGATTCTATTAATACCATACACTGCCTTAAGCTTGTCCTTCCAATCATATGGCTATTTTCTATCTCTCAGTCAGTCCATCTATCCCTTTTATTAGGTCACCTGAGCTTTAGCTCAAGTGACCTATTGCTATCCGTTTTCGTCCGTCGTCGTCCGTCGTCCGTTAACATTTTACATTTCAAACTTAAAGTCAAGTTCTGCTGGGCCGATTGAACTGAAAGTTGGTAGGAATGATCGCCTCATGGTCCTGACAAAGTGTTGTTATTTTTNCATTACTTGATATGCTGGTTTATAAATATTTTCATTGATATAAGTATGTGTTCAGCCTTTGTTTTTAGTTTGTCATGAGTGTTTTGTGAAAATAGAGTCCTTCACTGTAAACGTGGAATATTTCGCCCCGTTGAATACTTTGCGATAAAATCCTTGTTTGCCAAATTCTAATTCCACCCTTCACAAGTATAGTTACTATCATTTCATGTTGTGTACTAAAATTTGCTGTCATGATAAATTCGCCCTCATTGCGGAAAACAAAAAAGACGAAAGTAACTATATATGGTGCTATTTCATTGCAATGAATCAAACTGCCACTATAACATTATCATTGACTGTCTTTGTGTCTTACAGGGAGTGCTATACCGTGTGACTTTGAGACGCGGTACCAATGCGGCTATAGAAATAGGACAGAAAATCTCTTTGCTTCAGTCAAGAGACTGTACACTGGGTCATCGTATGTTACAGAACGTACCATAACAAAATCATCAGGTTGGTCATAGAAACATTTTACGATGGAGATCTTAAGTCTTCTGGACATATTTTTTATTGTAGAACCATTAAATTCTATTTGACAATTAATTTTGTATATTTATTGTTAGTACAATGGCAACAAATATTTTTTTTATATAAAACACAGACAATTTCTTGTTTACATGAAAACATGGCATCTAGTTATCCATGTACTTTAATGTTCAGAAATTCTGGACCCCAAGGTCAAAGGTCAAGAATGTTCAAATTTTTCAGGAACATCTTGTCAGGCTAGTGTAACATTTTAACTATTAAAGATATCTTGATGAAACTTGCAGTATAACTGCATTACCTACAGATGATGTGCAATGCAAATGCAGTGTCATTAGGTCACTGTGGCCTTTACCTCAGGGTCAAAGGTTGAAGAAGTCTGATTGTTTCAAACTTTTAAAGGTGCACGCCAAGGTGATGCCTGTGTCTAATTTTGCATAAACTTAGTATGCAAGTATATATATATGATGGCATTGTAAACTCTATCCAAGCATCATTTAATGTGACTATTGGTTCAGTTTTGAAGACTTCTGTAATGGTCCCCATTACAAATAAGAGCTTGTTCATGTATGTATGTAATTTAGCAGTAAGCAGTCCTTCTATAATAGTAATAACAATAATATACAACATTTGCTGTAGCGCCCTAGCTATCTAGCTAGAATAAGCCCTTCTAAAGTGCTTTACAGTACATAAATATACAATTTATACAATCAATATTAATACAGTTAGCATATAAATAAATCAATACAATTTTGAGGAATTTGTAGGAGCTGGCCTTATTAAAAAATAGTGTGGCACTAACTACTAGTCCTATGCCACCTGGCTAATATCTTCCTATGTGTACAGTCTGGCTGTGTGTGTGTTGGAGATGTATTGTGTTCTGTTTGTAGTGGGACTGTGCTACCAATGTTATCATCTATAGTGCCATTTCAATTGAATGCTACAGCACAGATACAGCAACATCCACCCCAGACCATTGTATACTCCACCTGGGTTGTTGGAGTTATGTGGGCAGGAATTAAACATGTATGGTATGGCAGGTCGGCGTGTTAACCACTCGACCATTCCGCCCAAAGAATAGTAACCGTCAAATAAATGCTAATTAAGTTAAAGATATCCTGATAAAACTTGCACTATATCTGCAACACCCACAGACGATGAACAATACACTATCATCAGGTTAAGTGCAAAGTTTTCAGGAATATTGTATCTGGGCCATAACTTTTAAAGCGTTTAAGGGGAGAAATATATTTTTGTTCACAAAAACAAATCTCTAGTTAGTTACATTTTTTCACGCTTTTCATATTGTAGATACTTTCGTTGGATTTTACTCAAGATCTTACTCCAGATCAGGTTCATACGTCACAGCAAGTCTGGTGTCACCGAGGAAACAAATCAACGAAACCATGTGCATGCGATTTTATTACTTTGGAAATGTTGGCTACTTACAAGTAACTGCTGACCACACATACAATAGCCATTACGATTATAAGATTTACCATGGATTATCTTGGAGGCCCGGACAGGTATGAATACTCACAAACACGCTGACATATACTTGTAGTATAGCAATGACACTAATTTACAAGCAATCAGTGCAGATACTTTTCAAAACTTTTGTCAAAATGAGAAAATGTACTATATTTTGGATTAATTTATGTCAATGACAAATGAAGGTCTAACTGAAACTGTTTAAAATGTAGACACATTTAATGTCTGATCGACAAAAAAAATAAAGATGCTGTTGTACATTTTTTACATCAGTCATATGCTGCAGCCATCATGTGAAATATTCCTCAATTATGGACTTTTGTGGAGGTGGATATGCGGTTTTATCACATAACGTGCTGTGTTATCCGTTGAATATACCCATGTCATATTTGCTTGTGCATGGCGACCATGGTGAGCTTATGCCATACCGCAGTGTTCGTCGTCAGTCCGTCAACTTTTCCTTTAAAACGCTACTGGTCCTGAACGGCCAAGTAGATTTTGACTTATTTGGTCTGGAGTATCCTTAGGCCATGGGGACTCAATTTTGTAAAAATGGTGGGTGTGACCCCCCTCGGGGCAGAGGTGCATGGCCCAATAGGGGAAATAGAGGTAAAACTTTTAAAATCCTTCTTCTGCCGAAGGGATAAAAGGATTTTATCTAATTTAGTCTGGATTCTCCTTGGGCAAAGGGGACTCAATTTTGTATAAAGGGTGGATGTGGCCCCCAGGGGCCCAGTAGGGGAAACATAGCAAATTCTTCAAAATCCTTCTTCTTCTGTAGGAATGACAGGATTTTGTCCAAATTTGGTATGAAGCATCCTTGGGTGAAGGGGAAGCAATTTTGTGTAAACGGTGGGTCTGACCCCTTTGGGAGTAGAGAGTAGGGCCCAACAAGGGATTTAGAGGAATAGCTTTAATTTCCATCTTCTTGAAGGTATTTTGACCAAATTCGAACAGTAGCATTGTATTTGAAAGGGAAATCAATTTTGTATAAATGGTGGGTTTGGACCCCCTGGGGCCTGATGGGCAGGGCCCAATAAGGGAAATATACATGTAGCAAATTCTTCAAAATCCTTCTTCTTCTGTAGGAATGACAGGATTTTGTTAAATTTGGGTGAAGCACCCTTGGCAGAAGGGGGAACCAGTTTTGTATAAACGGTGGGTCTGATCCCCTTTTGGCAGAGAGGCAGGGCCAAAGAGGAAAAATAGTTTAAAATCCTTCTTCTTCTGTAGGAATGACAGGATTATGTCCATATTTGGTCTAAAGCATTCTTGGGTGAAGGGGACCTAATTTTGTATCAACAATGGGTCTGACCCCGCTGGGGACAGAGGGGCGGGGCCCAATAGGGGAAACATAGCAAATTCTTCAAAATCCTCCTTTTCTTTTAGGAATGACAAGATGTTGTCCAATTGCATATAAATATAACCCCTGACTAACATGTAATACATGTACACTTCCAGTGATAGCATGCTATTCTAACTTCAATTTTGCTAACATTTCTAGGTGAGCGATACAGGCCCTCTGGGCCTCTTGTTACATTTCAAGGTTGCATGAAATTGTTGTCTGCACGAAAAAGTGCCACAAATCTTGATTATGTGACAAAAAGGATCTTACACTCGTTTTCATTTCATATGAAATTTATGAAACTTGTCACAAATTTTTCATTTGAACTTGCCAGAGGCTCATTTAATTGAAAAATTCTTAGACTCGTTTCATAAATCTCATATGAAATGGAAACTCATGTAAGATCCTATATATATGGACATGAGAAAGTGACATTGACAGATGGGGAAGTTATGGTAATAGGTGTCCATATAATCTCATATTTACCAACGTAAAATTAAGTCTTTAAATGTTATATTAGATGCTAAATAGTGTTTTAATCATTTAAAAAGATACCTCATTTAAAAATTGTACAGAGCATTCTTAGCAAGTGAAAGCCAGCAGTGATATCATATATCTGATGTCTAATTAGAAAATGAAATTCCGAATATTGCACATCATCTTTAACTGTTGATCATATGCATGTAAAATAGTTTAACTGTAGGCCACCATGCCAAGTCATTTCCATTTTGTTTTTCACGTTAGAAGCTAGCTGCATCAAGAAAGAAGAAATGGACCAAATATCCCACTTTCTTTGAGGAGTACAATTAAATTGTAAAACCCAGAAGAAATTATTTGAATATTATTATCTATCATATTCATTAAACACATGGAAGTACCACACATTCTAGAGATTTCCAACATTAACGATAACTTTGTTGTGAAAACCCCAACAGTTGATAGCCAAGAAAGACAACTCTGTCTGAGTGTTGACCTTAGTTGAGATATACACTATTACTCTGCAATCCAGAATATGTGACAGAAAATTTATATTACCAATTTCTAGTATATCAATACTGCCAGCCCGTGGATGTGTCCTTGCTTATTTTGACCTTGCAAGTTTTACTAAGATGAAATCTATGTTTTAGACCTGACGACCTTTGACCTGTTTTGCTGATGTTCCTACATTTGTATACTTTGTGTTTAGCTTACACTCATGCCAGGAAATGTAGAAGCAAGATTTGACGTCTATCTTCGGAACTCTTACACTTCCTATTACTTTGGCCTGGATGAGATAACCTTGACACCAGGGAATTGCTCCGAGCCTTTAGGTAAGTAAGCTCTGTCAGGTCTGAGCCTTAAGGTAAGTAAGCTAGGAGCTCTGAGCTTTTAGGTCTGAAGCTCTGTCAGCTCTGATCCTTATTGTAAGTAAGCTCTGAGTCTTTATGTAAGTAAGCTCTGAGCCTTTAGGTAAGTAAGCTCTGTCAGCTCTGAGCCTTAAGGTAATTAAGCTAGGAGCTCTGAGCTTTTAGGTCTGAAGCTCTGTCAGCTCTGAGCTGCAAGGAAAGTAAGCTCTGAGCCTTTAGGTAAGTAAGCTCTGAGCCTTCAGGTAAGTTAACTCTGAGCCTTAAGGTAAGTAAGCTCTGTCAGCTCTGAGCCTATAGGTAAGTAAGCTCTGAGCCTTTAGGTAAGTAAGCTCTGAACTTTTAGGTTAGTAAGCTCTGTCAGCTCTGAGCCTTTAGGTAAGTAAGCTCTGTCAGCTCTGAGCCTTTAGGAAAGTAAGCTCTGTAAGTTCTGAGCCTTAAGGTAAGTAAGCTCTGAGCCTTTAGGTAAGTTAGCTCTGAGCCTTCAGGTAAGTAAGCTCTTTCAGCTCTGAGCCTATAGGTAAGTAAGCTCTGAGCCTTTCGGTAAGTAAGCTCTGCACCTTTAAGTAAGTAAGCTCTGAGCCTTTATGTAAGTAAGCTCTTTAAGCTCTGAGCCTTTCGGTAAGTAAGCTCTGCACCTTTAAGTAAGTAAGCTCTGAGCCTTAAGATAAGTAAGCTCTTTAAGCTCTGAGCCTTAAGGTAAGTAAGCTCTGAGCCTTTAGGTAAGTTAGCTCTGAGCCTTCAGGTAAGTAAGCTCTTTCAGCTCTGAGCCTATAGGTAAGTAAGCTCTGAGCCTTTCGGTAAGTAAGCTCTGCACCTTTAAGTAAGTAAGCTCTGAGCCTTTATGTAAGTAAGCTCTGAGCTCTGAGTGTTTAGGTAAATAAGATCTGAGCTCTGAGCCTATATGTAAGTAAGCTCTGAGCTCTGAGCCTATAGGTAAGTAAGTTCTGAGCCTTTAGGTAAGTAAGCTCTGAGACTTAAGGTAAGTAAGCTCTGAGCCTTTAGGTAAGTAAGCTCTGAGCCTATATGTAAAAAAGCTCTGAGCTCTGAGCCTTTAGGTAAGTAAGCTCTGAGCCTTTAGGTAAGTAAACTCTGAGTCTCCAGGTTAGCAATGAAGGATTCTCAGCAAACTGACATTATATATAACTTAATGCTCCATTAGTTCAATAATTTTATTTGGAATGTAAAACAGTAAAATATTTTGATTCTGCAAATTGATCGAGAATCGGGTCTGTAAATCACCCTTGTAGAAAAAAAAAAGGAAAAATGTTAATGAAGGGGATATGGGACAATGGTGTATAACAGCTGTGGCTATTTTCACCGGCTAGTCCTAGATATTTAACACAATCAAATACATGTACGTTTTAACTTTTTTATTTTGCCCTTATCCTTATACATGTACATATAAGTTTTGTTGTAGAATAGTTTTACTACAGTGCAGTGGTATTTTTAAAATGATAAAACATTTTAATCTGTTTTTGTCAACATTTCAAAGTAAATCATGATTATATATAAAATAAGGATGGATGTGAATTGATTTGTGAATAAAGCAAACTGTATGTTGTGCATTGTATCACAATTTTTCTTTTCTATCAAACTATCACTTATGTATGGGACTAGAAATACTTGCTTCACATCTTTTATATCAGGGTTGAATCATTCTGCAAAAAGCATAAAAATAACTGCTGAAAACATTACCCATTATATACTGTATAATCTGTTTAACACATTCATACATTTAGCTGTTATATACATTGAAACAGCTCGTATCCATATCCTTATTAAAATGCAATTTACAGTTGTGATCATACTGATGTAGGGGTATTTTGACTGTACTTATTGTGAAATGGGATTATCTGTAAGGTTGATAAAACAAATTTTGAAAATGCAAAAACAAATTTAAAAAAGGCGTAACTTTTGTATATCGATCCTTTTATGCTTTTCAAGAATATTACGAATCGTATGTGAGCCACTGTGGTTGTAATATTATTGTAATCTATGCCACTGCACTGTGGTCGTCAAGTAATTGTTATGTATGAAACTGTGGTTGTCATGTAACTGTTATGTATTTATTGTCATGAAATTGTTATGTATTTGTTGTCATGTAATTGTTATTTGTGTACACAGTAATGTATTTATTTATTTATACTTTTTGATAGATTACAAATGGTTAAAGTTCCAGCTAACAAAACGACTTCAGTAAACAGCTTATAATTAATTAACACTATTAATTATTGTTTTAATGTTAATGATTTGTTATTGATTTTTTGTTGTAGACTGTGGGGATGGAATGGAGTGTTCTGGATTGTGTTTACCTGCATCAGCGCTTTGTGATAAAATACGGGACTGCTGGGACGGAAGGGATGAGAGCAGTAGTATTTGTCGTAAGTGATTAGAAAACGTCGTAGATTACGAAATAAGAATTAAGGTAATAGTATCTATCATGTTTATACCAGTATTACTGACCCTGTGATTAATGATGTCCTTCCTGTGTCTATACCGGTAATACTGACCCTGTGATATATACCGGTATTACTAACCCTGTGATTAATGATGTCCTTCCTGTGTCTATACTGGTAACACTGACCCTGTGATATATACCGGTATTACTGACTCTGTGATATATACCAGTATTACTGACACTGTGATAATTATACCAGTATTACTGACCCTGTGATATGTACCTGTATTACTGACCCTGTAATATATTCCTGTATTACTGACCCTGTGATATATACCAGTAATACTGACCCTGTATATGTACCTGTATTACTGACCCTGCTCTGTGATATATAAAAGTATTACTGACCCTGTGATATATACCTGTATTACTGACCCTGTGATATGTACCTGTATTACTGACCCTGTAATATATTCCTGTATTACTGACCCTGTGATATAAACCTGTATTACTGACCCTGTGATATGTACATGTATTACTGACCCTGTGATATATACCTGTATTACTGACCCTGTGATATGTACCTGTATTACTGACCCTGCGATATATACCAGTACTGACACTGTGATATGTACCTGTATTACTGACCCTGTGATATATACAAGTGTTACTGACCCTGGGATATATACCAGTAATACTGACCCTGTGATATGTACCTGTATTACTGACCCTGCGATATATACCAGTACTGACACTGTGATATGTACCTGTATTACTGACCCTGTGATATATACAAGTGTTACTGACCCTGGGATATATACCAGTAATACTGACCCTGTGATATGTACCTGTATTACTGACCCTGCGATATATACCAGTACTGACACTGTGATATGTACCTGTATTACTGACCCTGTGATATATACCAGTATTACTGACCCTGTGATAATTATACCAGTATTACTGACCCTGTGATATATACCAGTATTATTGACCCTGTGATATGTACCTGTATTACTGACCCTGTGATATGTACCTGTATTACTGACCCTGTGATATATACCAGTATTACTGACCGTGATATATACCTGTATTAATAACCCTGTGATATGTATCTGTATTACTGACCCTGTGATAATTATACCAGTATTACTGACCCTGTGATTATTTATAGTTAACGTTGTTTTTGTGTTCCAGCCAACAACATTACCTGTGATTTCGAGCATCATTACCTATGTGGTTATACTGAAAGTACATATTGGAGTCAACAAAAGAGCAGCAAGGGCACAATTCCTTCTTTTGACAAAACTGCTGGCGAGTCTTCATCAGGTATAGATTATGCTTTTATTGCCGTTGTGTGAGGGAAACATGATTCTTTGTTTCCCAATGATTAGTCGTATTTCACAGGTGCTACTGGGAAACAACAAGGACAACCAATATATATGTTAATTAATATACCAGGATAAAACAATAACACAACAGTAAAGATGATAAGGTTAATGTGCCTATGTTGTCTGCTTCACCCACTCATAATGCAGGTATGGTGGCCATGGGCTATTGGTAGGACGCCGAACTCGTTACCGAAGGGTTGCGGGTTCGGTCACAGCACGGCACTGTGTTGTATCTTTGAGCATGATACTTTACTCCACTTTTCCAGTTTACTCAGCTTTAAATGAGTACATGGTTGGACAGTGCTAGAATTGTTGCTGTGAGCAGCAAAATGGCAGCACCAGCTGTATGCTCCCCAGGCAGTTAAGAAAAATATTGGCTGGTTGCAAGGGCCATATATCCACAGATAATAATTTGTGAACCACTTTGAGACGACCTAGGAACCAGGTTGTGATAAAACGATACCGGGTATATAAGAACCTGGTTTATTATTATTATTATTATGGTGGCTTGTATCCATTTTTCTGAAGAGGCTCTGAATAAGGGAAATATGATCCAGATACAATTATGAATATACTGTCTACTGGGAAATCTTTCGCTGCAGTTTAATTTTTCACATTTTTTGCCTTCTAAATGGAGGCGAATTTATCATTACACGAAACTTTTGTAAACAACATAATACCCGTAGTAATTAAATGTGAAGGGCAAGTTTAATATTGGGCAATTTGATTTTTTCATATACAGTAATCCAATCAGAGATGCTGTTTGATATACATAGGTGTAGGTATAACTTAATGAAATTTGGCATGCAGAGATTTAGTTAAGTGATCAAGAATGACTTTGACCCACTTTAATAGTCAAATGGGTAATTTGTGTTGATATATTTAACCCTTTCACCCCTGTGTAACTTTAGTAGACTCTACGATGCATTGATATGGATGTGTTCATTATGATCTACAGTGGTGAAAGGGTTAAATGAATTCTCCTGAATAACCAAAAGTCACAGGATAATTATAATTGACCAGTAGCATGCTAGAATGAGATCTGTCGATGTTGTTCAAATGAATGGCCCACCCTGATCTTCAAGGTCACAGCCATTCAAATGTGATTAAGAATTATGAGTTTTTCTTCCTGAGCATCAGAACTAAAGTGATGATATTTGACCAGCAACATGCTTGCTGGGATAAAGGGCTACCAATTTTGTTTAACGAATGACATTGACCCAATTTGTAGGTCACAGGGGTCAAATGTATTAAAATTCCTTAAAAAGACTTTTGCTAAATAACCAACTGTCAAAGGATAATAATTGGTCAGAAGGCTGATGGAATGTCTGGCTACCAAATTAGTGCTACTGGATGACCTTGTTAGACTTTCACGACCACTGGGGTCAGCGCTTAAAATGTTGAAACAGGTTCTTTTGAATAGCCTGTAACTTTATTTAGTCCAATTAAATACATTTGACCTTGGTCCATTTTTAAGGTTAAAGTGTGAGATTAATAGCAGGTGAGTGACGCAGGCGCATTTGGCCACTTTTTGAAAATATGCCTTCTCTTTTATTGTTTATGTTTAAAGAGTTCATGTTTGGATATTTTGACAAAAAATGCATTTTCTCCAATTGTAGGACATTTTATGAAGTTCCAGAGCACCCAGAGCTACAGTTACTCTCTCAGCTCTCCACTTGTGTATGTAAATTCAGGGTGTGTGTCTTTCTGGTATAATATCCAATGGGAGACATCTGGCCAGCTTTCTGTGTACGTCAGTGACAAGAGTAGTGCGGTCTTCATTGATAATGGCGTAGAATTCGGCAATGGTTGGCGTCAGGCGAGTGTTGCAATCGAGGGCTCCAACACATCTGGATCTGCTGTTGGCATCCGTTTTGAAGCACGAGGTGGATTGTTTTTTGCACGACCTGGTGAGGTTGCCATCGATGAAGTCTCCTACACACCACAACCCTGTGCAACGTTTGTTCGTAAGTTACCTCCGTATCATTTTGTCTGGAGTATTGATGATATTTGTTAAAGTAATATGATTACGGTAAAACGCCGGATGAATTTGAATTGACAGAAAGTTTCTACAGTGCTATAAAAACAATGATTTTCTATCTAATGATGAATTAAATCCTGGATAACTACATTAAATTTGAGTACTGAAATAATGGATTTATTGATTGATTAGCGGGGATGAAATAACAGACTTGAGAAACTCGCTCAACACTTAACAATTTTCATGTTGACAGAAATTAATAATTAAGTCATGGTTTGTACACATGATGTTCGACCATTGTAGACCAGGAGTAAAAACACTTGGTTAATAGCTTGATGGGATAATGATAACACGTAATGAAGCTTGTTCAATATAACATGTACCTTACCTTGACCTTTTTTGAGAATCACAAGAGAAAAAATAAATTTTCCTTACAAAAAACCAACAAAGATTGACAAGGTACAGTATGAGAATATTTAGTGTTACCATTCTTGCTGTTAAGTTTGACCTTGACCCACTTTGAAGGTCACATATTTGAAATGTATTTTAAAAACAATTAATTACAGATGAACAATGTAAGTACCATTTAGTCTGTTGTCATGATAAATCTAGCACTTTACAAGCAACATAGCAAGTAAACATTTAGGGTTACCCACTAGTGAGTAACACCCTGGACCTGTTATTAGTAAACATTTAGGGTTACCCACTAGTGATTAACACCCTGGACCTGCTAATTAGTAAACATTTAGGGTTAACCACTAGTGACTAAAACCCGGGACCTGTAATTAGTAAACATTTAGGGTTACCCACTAGTGATTAACACCCTGGATCTGCTAATTAGTAAACATTTAGGGTTAACCACTAGTGACTAAAACCCGGGACCTGTAATTAGTAAACATTTAGGGTTACCCACTAGTGTGTAACACCCTGGACATGTAATTAGTAAACATCTAGGGCTACCCACTAGTGAGTAACACCCTCGACCTGTAATCAGTAAACATTTAGGGTTACCCACTAGTGAATAAAACCCGGGACCTGTAATTAGTAAACATTTAGGGTTAACCACTAGTGACTAAACCCCGGGACCTGTAATTAGTAAACATTTAGGGTTACCCACTAGTGACTAAAACCCGGGACCTGTAATTAGTAAACATTTAGGGTTACCCACTCGTGAGTACCACCCTGGACATGTAATTAGTAAACATCTAGGGCTACCCACTAGTGAGTAACACCCTCGACCTGTAATCAGTAAACATTTAGGGTTACCCACTAGTGATTAACACCCTGGACCAGCTAATTAGTAAACATTTAGGGTTACCCACTAGTGTGTAACACCCTGGACATGTAATTAGTAAACATCTAGGGCTACCCACTAGTGAGTAACACCCTCGACCTGTAATCAGTAAACATTTAGGGTTACCCACTCGTGAGTACCACCCTGGACATGTAATTAGTAAACATTTAGGGTTAACCACTAGTGACTAAAACCCGGGACCTGTAATTAGTAAACATTTAGGGTTACCCACTAGTGATTAACACCCTGGACCTGCTAATTAGTAAACATTTAGGGTTAACCACTAGTGACTAAAACCCGGGACCTGTAATTAGTAAACATTTAGGGTTACCCACTTGTGAGTAGCACCCTGGACCTGATTTCATTGGTCAATTCCTTTTAATTTTGACGTCAAGTTGCATCTTCCGTTGTGACATCATAGTTCATGGATATTCTTTCCTTGATTAGATACTGGAATATTATTAATAAAAAATAACATTAACATAAGAAAGCAATTTTTTTCACTATTACCTATATAAAAAAAATATAAAAAAATCAACAAATGAAGATTAAATATCCCCTATATTTTTTTCTAACCTGGGTTAAAATCAACATCCCACTTGAATTTTTACTTCTTTTAATTATCATTATTTTTTGTCTTTGATAGAAGTGTTTTGATATATTTACTTTTAATGTTGATCCTGACTGGATGTCACTTGTAAGTTTTTACCTCCCTAAAATTCTTTAAAATATCAATAAATCTCCAATTTTGATTCCAACAAAGTAATAAGAGGCTTCAGAACGACACAAAAGTAATGTAACTATGTTATATGCAGTATTACTTCAGTCTGTTTTAAATGTCTCACAAATTTCTCACTAATTCAGAGAAAAAAATCTCACTAAAAAAATTCACTGATCTCACTATTTTGCACCGGAAAGTTATGGCATGTATGTAATGCTTTCCCTACAGAAACATGTGTTTTTTTAGATAAATTTTTTAATAGTTGTCGTAATCCTTTATATCTTCTCTCATTTCAGCACCAAAGCGATGTGACTTCAACTGTTCAAGTTCGAACGGCACTGTGTGTATTCCTTACAACCTAGTCGATGATGGTGTTAAAGACTGTCCACAGGGCGAGGACGAATCGTGGAGTTATGTCTATACAACACCAGGTGTAACAGCTTCTACACCAACAAGTAAGATAATTAACTCACCTGTACTAAACTGCTAAGTTAGGCCTACAATAAATGTAAGATCCAGTATTTTTACACACAGATGTAACCTGGCTAAACCACTAAAATATATCTACATATATAAGGAACATTAAATAGCTCACCTGTCCCAAACCACTAAATTAGACCTACTCACATATGTAAGTAACAGGTAAATTGTACTCTCTCAACTGGCCAGAACCTCTTAATTATGTCTATATAATTGTACAATTACTCAGTTGCTCACCTAGCTAAACCACTAAAATATATCTACTTAAGGAACATTAAATAGCTCACCTGTCTCAAACCACTAAATTAGACCTACACCCAGATGTAACAGTTACTCTTTCACCTGGCCAGAACCTCTAAATTATACATTCACGCCACGTGTATTTTGCAATACCCATGATAAGCTCACCTGGCCTAAACCACTAAATTATATCTACATAATAATTACAGTAATTTACTCGGCTTGCCAAGAAAAACTTCCACCTAAGGTACAATATGCATTAGCTCATCTGGCCTAAACCACTAAATTATATCTTTTATAAGGTACAAAAATCAGCTGTCCAAAACAACTACCAGGTAAAATATATTTCCATAGGATACAGTTATAGGCTCCTATTACACAAACAGATCTACAGAATATACAGTGACATATTCACCTGGCCAAAGCAACTTAAATATTTCTTTTTTTTTCTGGTTTTGAGATCTTCCCCGTGACAATCTCTTCCGGCTGTCGTATCTAAGGAAGCGCCTGTCGTATCTAAGGAAGCGCCAACATTTTAGAATGTACTTGCTTGGTAATGAGTATGGGTCTCGATGGGTATAAAAAGCACATTACCCGTCAAACCGGTTATCATTTGTTCAACGTGTGCACAATGTGACACCACTATACTATATAAATAAAACACTTTCACGATTAAACCAACATTTTTTCATCAAATCAGTTGAATAAAATTGAAAAGAAACACATCAAAGATATCATTTATCTAAGAAAAGTGGAAATAATAGTAAAATACCACCAATAAAAAAATTCCTGCACCACTCCCTCCAAAAAAACCCACCAAACAGCCATGAAAGAAACAAACATACGACTACGACCAACGCTGATGCCTACCTTTTAGATATCCAAGTAGTAATAATATCCTGTGTGAAACCAATATACTAATTCCAATTATTTCCATGAGAACGGTTCAATTATCAAATTTCACCTTGTTGACAATAACATACCTGGGAGTGTGGCATTTTGCACATGTTTTGTTAGTAAAGCGTCTACACAACGAAGACTTAGAGTTCATAATAAAGTTTTCGTGTGTGGGTGCAGTTATTATGCATGTGAAATACCAATGAAATATTTTCATTAATATACCTTTTATTTTGGATACACAATTTCGAGAATGTGCCATAAGTAAAAACCAGCTTGGCAGTGTTTCAAAGTCGTCTGGTGAGTGTGTTTTATTTTTTGATATCGGTTACCGATCAAGGTTCATGGTGCATTGAATCGCAAGACAGTCATTTGTAAAATGATAACCGGTTTGACATGTAATGCACTTTTTATACCCAGCGAGACCCATACTCCTTACCAGGCAAGGGCAAACTAAAATGTCGGCACTTCCTTAGAAACAAAAGTCTGAAGAGATGGGGAAGATCTCAAAACCAGATTATTATTAAAAAAAAAAATCTCTATTAAAAGCTTTTTAACTTGCACTGTCAGCTTTAACATAAAATACAGTTATTTGTTCACTAGGCTCAACCCACTTAATCCTCAGTCTACATAAGGACAATAGTTCATTCACCTGGCTCAACCCACTTAATCCTCATTCTACATAAGGACAGTAGTTCATTCACCTGGCTCAACCCACTTAATCCTCATTCTACATAAGGACAGTAGTTCATTCACCTGGCTCAATAACTAAATGTTGTATTTACCTTTGTATCAGTAATTTGTACCTGTAATACATATACATACACACATAGGGAGATATAATCCAGGTGGCACAGGACTAGTAGTTAGCGCCTGATACGGCAGCTCCTGCTAATTCCTTAAATTGTATTGAATGTATATCTATTTACTGTAAAGCACTTTAGAGTGGCTTATGTTAGCTAGGTAGGGTGCTTTATCAAATGTTGTATATATATGCTTGTTTTTATTTTATTTTTTCCAGGTGATGGGGCGAGATATGCATGCTCTTTTGAAAGTACCTATGAGAGTTCATGCTTTTTGAAAAATGACTATGGAGATGATTTTGATTGGACAAGAAAATCTGTAAGTTTCTTTGATCATTTGAACCACTCTTGTGTCGTTAAACATGTTATTAGAGTGAACCCAAACAAAATAAGATCTGAAATTGTCTACTTTGCACATGTCATAAAGACCCTGAACATGCATATTTTCTAATATATTGATTGGATGTTACTCTGTGTCATTTCATGCCTTGGATGGCAGAAATTGCCAGCCTCTACAATACTGTAGCAAACCAGATATTTTTTAGCATGTCTTATTGCATAATACATGCATGTCTTAAGATATAACATGTTTTGCAAATTTGCAAATATGTGAGGGGGGGGGGGGGGTAAAATTTCCACAATAGTTCCCTGTGACATACAATAAAATCCTGCTAACTCTCAGACTTGTCAGGTCCAGATCAATATATGGGGTATTCGATATGAATCCGAGGTTCGTCCAACATCATAATGTTTTGATCAGGTGGGATGACAGACAGCATGAACAGCGCAAATGTCATGGATAGTAGATAATAGAAGTAGGACAGAAGTTTAATAAAGATGAAAATATATTTAGTAAAGATAAAATAAATGCTCAACAAAGAATATATCGGAGCACATGGTCGGAACCATTAAGCCAACTATTAGAGGAACAGTGGATATTCAAGTTATGCGAGTTGGAGTAAGTGGGGTTTCACTGTATACATAAATTTTCTCAAAAGCTAATACGTCACAAATAACAAAATGTTGACAAATTCAGTAATCCTGAGACTGTGTTATTATTAGATTTATTTCTTTGTTACACAGGGATCAACTCCCTCCAGTGCTACAGGCCCGGACTATGCATATGATGGATCATATTACATGTACCTTGAGACAACTGCTTCAGGATATGGAGACCTGGCTCGCCTTGTTTCACCTTTTATCCCGATAGGTAAGACCTGAAGAGTCAATTATAAACTTCTGTTATTAACTACTCTTCGCCCTAAATTTCCCCCCGTCAAATGTTTGCGCAGTGTTAATTTCACTCTTTACATGTTATTACCATGCATAGTATTTTACGTACTTCTTTTCACTGTGGTGATAAAATTCACCATCATGATGGAGGGTGAAAAGATGAAAATACATAGTATTTAATAGGCTGATTATAGGGCCTGGCAGAGACTACTCATTACTTGTACATTACCGTGCCTCTGGTTAGGTTTGCTTTAGTTGTTAGTCCCCCAACGGTTCCTGGGGGAGCTATAGGTTCGCACTCCCTCCATCCTTCCGTCCGAGAAGTTTGTCTGGGACATATCTTCTTTACTATTTCACCTGCAGTAACCAGAGTCTGTGTACAAGGACATCTTGGAATGGCAGATTGCAGAGAGCAAGAAGAAGGTCAATATGACCTCACTATGACCTATGCTTTGACCTTAACTTAGGAAAGTTTGTCTGGGACATATCTTCTATACTATTTCACCTGCAGTATCCAGAGTCTGTGTACAAGGACATCTAGGAATGGCAGATTGCAGAGTGCAAGAAGAAGGTCAATATGACCTCACTATGACCTATGTTTTGACCTTTGACCTTAACTTTTGAAAAGTTTGTCCGTGACATTCTTCTTTACTATTTCACCTGCAGTAACCAGAGTCTGTGTACAAGGACATCTTGGAATGGCGGAGTGCAGAGTGCAAGAATTAGGTCACTGTTATATATGACTCGACCTTTTACCTTTACTTTTGAAAAAGTTTGTTCAGGGCATATCTTTTATACTATATCACCTGGAGTATCCAGATTTGGTATACAAATACATCTTGGAATGGCAAAACACCGAAACATTAATAGTTTATAGTTTTTTTCTAAATCAGAGTTTTATACCCTTGCCAATACATTAATCTTTTATTTTGATGATTTGCATTTTAAATTCCTGGATATTAACCATGGTTTATTGTAGTATTGGCAATGTATAAGTCTTGAGTTTAATTCCAGAATATTTTTTCAAGATAAGTTTTTATTTTTAAAACACACAAATCTTCAACAAATGTAATTCTGTAAAATGCATTAAGAGATGTGATTTTTTCATGAAATATTCCTGCAGAAAAGGACATGCTTAACTCATTCACCTCTGAACTTCATAATGAACTATTCGTACCTTTGAATTGGAAGTGTCTTCAGGGGTGAATGAGTTAAATGTATAAAAATCAGCAACAACCCTTTTTTCCTGTAAATGATTATACCTTAAGTTGTTTTGTAATGAGGACAATTTTGATGTGCTTGTTTTTTTCTTTCAGAAAATGATCACTGTTTGTATTTCCATTACCATATGTATGGTTCCAATATAAATACATTGTCTGTATACACGGAGGATAACTCCGCTATTAAGTCACGAGTCTGGACAAAGTATGGTGACCAAGGTAACAGCTGGTACCAAGGAATGGCTACAATACGAAGCTCAGTTACCAACTCAACTCAAGCCCCATGGACGAACAACACGACAACGCCCCATGGGATGAACACCACAACAACACCCCATGGGAGGAACACCACAACAACGCCCCATGGGAGGAACACCACAACAACGCCCCATGGGAGGAACACCACAACAACGCCCCATGGGAGGAACATCACCACATCTGCCAAGCGAACGAACAGCACAACACCAGACCAATGGGTTAAGAACCACCAAAACACAGACACAACAACATCAGCCTTCACAGACACCCCAGGTGGAGTAAAGGTAAATATTGCAAATTTAGATCTAGAGCACCTCATGATAAAAAGGATTTAAAGAGCCCTGGATATCTCCTAGGAGATATCTTAGTTCAGCAGAACTCTTATAGTGATATTTTTTCATCTACAAAATAAGAAAAAATGATTTTAAATATTCTAGAGATTTCTAAAACTTCTTTATAGACTGTGTATAAATGATAGCGTGTGTGGGTTATGGTCTGTTTATAAAGGTTTCATTTGCTCTTAACAATAAAATTCACTTTAGTGAAGTGTAGTCCCTGAACTAACTCATTCACCCCTACATATGTAAGCTGGACTTGCCCAGTCATTGATTTGATAAGGTTCAAATGTGACTTTAGGGGTGAATGGGTTAAAACAGTTTGTCTGTAGAGCAAGTTTGACTGTAATGGAGAGAAATATTGTGTATTAGGGAAACTTATCAATCAGAACAATTACAACAACCCTTAGTAGCTTATCAGTCATCCCTTTTACTATTATGTCAAAACTGCTTAACATTTAAAAAAATATTATTTCAGATTATAATTGAGGGTACAGACGGATCCAGTTACACAGGAGACATTGCTCTAGACAAAATATTCCTAGCTGAAAACAAGTGCCCATTAGGTATTTCTTTCTTTTTACTAATGATTAAATTAACATTATTTCTTAATGTTTTTTCACCAAGGATTTTATTTTAGCTTACCTAGCACAAAGTGAGCTATTGCAATTTAACATCTGTCGTTAATTGTCATGATTTTAAAAAAAAAGTTTTTGGGCCTCTTGTTCACTTAAATGATTTCTTGGTGAACACCAAAAGTCTTTTGTTTCATAAAAAAAACCATTGACCTGCTTTCAAGGTAACAGAGGTCAAATAAGTTCAAAACTTTTTCTAAAGAAAAAAAAAGGTTTAGAGCCATATATCTTTACTATGGTTTGACCAGCATTGCAACTCTTAGTCATCATTTTAATCAAATGAGCTCGCCATGCATGTAGTTGCTCGGTATAATGAAATATTTAGTTCAACCAAGCCACTCTGAGATGTGGAAACATACAACATTACTTTTGAGTGTGAAGATTTATTTCATAATTGCTTAACTCATTCACCCCTGAAATTTCATAATGAACTATTCCAACTTTCGAATGGAAGAGTTCAAATGTGTCTTCAGGGGTGAATGAGTTAAATATCAAAGTGAGTGGAACAGGCCCTTTTGGCCTCTTGTTCATTTAAGGATGGAATTCAATTTATGATTGTAAGCAACATGGTTCTGATCTTACATTTCCAAGTTGTGCGATAATTTATCTTATGTTCAGAACAACAAAGTAAATTGTATTTTATCTCTCTCAGTGATTACTTTCGGTTCCTCATATATTTTCATCAAAGCAGTTATTTGCTATAAATCACAAAAATTTGACAATATATCAAAAATCATGTTTTCTTAATATAGTCCATAGTAACATTAATAGCCAAAGTTGGGTTCTTAGAACAGCTGTTAACAATGGCAACTTCTTTAGATTCCACTTAACAGGTTTGGAAAGTGTGAGCACAGTTGTTTACTGTTATACATTTCAGATTCAGGTGGCTCTATATATAACAATTACAATTACCGTTTGATCGGGGGTGATCGTAAAAGTCATGGCCGACTCGAGATTCAGGCTTCAGGGTCCTACTTCAAGCCTATCTGCAATAATTATTACTGGACTGATTCCAATACACATGTAGCTTGCCGAGAATTTGGTTTTGGGTGAGTATGTCTTACGGTTTATATACAACTAACACACAATAAACATTTAACCTTTCTATTACCCATAGGTGACTGGAGACAGTGAGAAATAAAATATAAGACTCTACACTAATAACCTAGAGAAGAAGCTTGACTGGAGACAGTGAGAAATAGAATATAAGACTCTACACTAATAACCTAGAGAAGAAGCTTGACTGGAGACAGTGAGAAATAGAATATAAGACTACACTAATAACCTAGAGAAGAAGCTTGACCGGAGACAGTGAGAAATAGGATGTAAGACTCTACACTAATAACTTATAGAAGAAGCTTGACTGGAGACAGTGGGAAATAGAATATAAGACTCCACACTAATAACCTAGAAGAAGCTTGACTGGAGACAGTGAGAAATAGAATTTAAATTTTTACACTAATAACCTAGAGAAGAAGCTTGACTGGAGACAGTGGGAAAAAGAATATAGGACTCTACACTAATAACTTATAGAAGAAGCTTGACTGGAGACAGTGGGAAATAGAATATAAGACTCTACACTAATAACCTAGAGAAGAAGCTTGACTGGAGACAGTGGGAAATAGAATTTAATTTTTTACACTAATAACCTAGAGAAGAAGCTTGACTGGAGACAGTGGGAAAAAGAATATAAGACTCTACACTAATAACTTATAGAAGAAGCTTGACTGGAGACAGTGGGAAATAGAATATAAGACTCTACACTAATAACCTAGAGAAGAAGCTTGACTTGAGACAGTGGGAAATAAAATGTAAGACTCTACACTAATAACTTATAGAAGAAGCTTGACTGGAGACAGGGGGAAATAGAATATAAGACTCTACACTAATAACCTATAGGAGAAGCTTCACTGGAGACAGTGGGAAATAGAATATAAGACTCTACACTAATAACCTATAGGAGAAGCTTCACTGGAGACAGTGGGAAATAGAATATAAGACTCTACACTAATAACTTATAGAAGAAGCTTGACTGGAGACAGTGGGAAATAGAATATAAGACTCTACACTAATAACCTAGAGAAGAAGCTTGACTGGAGACAGTGAGAAATAGAATGTAAGACACTACACTAATAACCTAGAGAATAAGCTTGACTGGAGACAGTGGGAAAAGAATATAAGACTCTACACTAATAACTTATAGAAGAAGCTTGACTTGAGTCAGCGGGAAATAGAATATAAGACTCTATACTAATAACTTATAGAAGAAGCTTGACTTGAGTCAGCGGGAAATAGAATATAAGACTCTACACTAATAACTTATAGAAGAAGCTTGACTGGAGACAGTGGAAAAAGAATATAAGACTCTACACTAGTAACCTAGAGAAGAACCTTGACTGGAGACAGTGAGAAATAGAATATAAGACTCTACACTAATAACCTAGAGAAGAAGCTTGACAGGAGACAGTGAGAAATAGAATTTAAATTTTTACACTTATAACTTATAGAAGAAGCTTGACTTGAGACACTGGGAAAAAGAATATAAGACTCTACACTAATAACCTAGAGAAGAACCTTGACTGGAGACAGTGAGAAATAGAATATTAATTTTTACACTAATAACTTATAGAAGAAGCTTGACTTGAGTCAGCGGGAAATAGAATATAAGACTCTACACTAATTACCTAGAGAAGAAGCTTGACTGGAGACAGTGAAAAATAGAATATAAGACTCTACACTAATAACCTAGAGAAGAAGCTTGACTGGAGACAGTGAGAAACAGAATATAAGACTCTACACTTATGACCTAGAGAAGAAGCTTGACTCTGCGAACTGTAGCGAAGCAACTTCACTTTAAAGCTCATGAGGGAATAAACCTTGAGTGAAATCCTTTTTTCTATTGGTAGAATGCTAGACTTGTTGGTCAATGGTTTCTGCACAATGTATGTTTTTCAAAATGATTATGAAGCAAGTTATGTATTAACTTTGATTTATCATTCTTGTTGTCCCAGATGTTTGCATGTGATATTTGGATCATCTGTATAGTTGTATTTTTTAGCTCACCTGGCCAAAAGGGCCAAGTGACTGGATAGAATATAAGACTTTACACTAATAACTTATAGAGAAAGCTTGGCTGGAGACAGTGAGAAATATTTTACTTTAAACAACTTCCTCTTAATAACCAAAAGGCTTAGAGTGATGATATCTGGCCAGAAGCAAACTGGATGAAAGGCTACCAAGTTTGTTCAAATAAATGACCTTCACCACTATTCAAGGTCACAAGGGTCAAATATGTTAAAAACTTTAAACAACTTCTTGTGAATAACTGAAATGCCCAGGGTGATGATATTTGGGCAGAAGCATGCTGGGATGAAGGGCTAACAAGTTTGTTCAAATAAATTACCCTCACTCATATTCAAGGTCACAGGGGCCAATTGTCTGTTTAATATCAGATTTCAACATTTTTTAAGGGAGTTACAACCAATAATGCAGAATACCTTGTCCGGAAACCTCACTCTACCAACTTTAATTTTGTATGTATATTGATGAAACTTCGTCTATATGTGAAGAGCCAACATATCTCAAACGAGTTCCCATTTCTGTAAGTTGACCCCAAGGTCAAGGTCTCTAAGCATATGAGGGGGTGTATTAGTTATCCTCCAGATGACATTTCTAGTTACAACATGTGTGTTTGGTAAGGACCATTGAATTGTATACAGAGACTCCAATTTAAGAATCTGATTTGGTTTTAATTTCTTTTTTATACAGGTTGTAACTTTTATTTCAATTATTTTTTTCAGGCCAAATGTGAAAACTATGACCTACACAAATGGGGAATATGGGAAAGCCTCTACTAGATTAATGTTCGACAGACGATTCTTATGTACTGGAACAGAGGACTCTTTAGGAAGCTGTCGAGACTCTTATTCTACCAGCTACTGTTATGATTATCAAATTGGAATAGCTTGTACAGACGGAGGTAAGAGATAGGAAATTTAAAGGTAAAGAGTACAAACAAGCCCCACCTGCCTCAGCAGCCACCTGTTATTAGGATAAAGGAAAATTGATTTAATGATAAAAAATCCTCAAAAAGAAATAATTTAAACAGAATACAAAGGAAAATATAAAAAAAATATAAGACGAAAATCATTTGGTAATAATTACTTGTCAAAATTTTCATGCAATTTGTCACGATATGGGGAGTGTCCCTCTATCTGTCTGCCACACTTTTGTTTCCGCAAAATAACTTACTTTGATATCATTTTGATTTTGATGAAACAAAAAAGTGGTAAGCATGTGCAAGATACAAAATTGAGGCTAAGTTGAGCAAGTTGGTCAAAATCCATGCATTATTTATTAGCACGCTGATTGGTCAGGTTTCCACACAATAACTTAATGATTTGATACGACTGAAGTTTGACAAAACTTGATCAGTGTCTACGCTAATATCTAATAAAATATTTAAAATATAGATATTTGGGTTGTCGCTCAACAGCTACCCAGAATAGACTGATAATTATAGGTAATTAATGATAAAGATTGGAACCATCTTATACTTAAGAAGTAACAGGTAAGACAGTTTGTATCAATAGATCTAGAGAGCAACACTTTGGGCAAAAGTACATTTGAGGTCAAACCTTACGATTTGGTTAACACCTTGCAGTGACTCGGGAGGGTCTGTTGCATTGTAGATGGTGCTATAGGGCTATCCATCTAGTGGCGACCAGATCAGTCATTGATTACATAGAGATAGGAACGAGAATGTGATCTCCCCAAAACAGACAGGGGTAACTCTCATTGCCATATGGTACATCTAGTGATTGTTGGGAGGGGAAAGTAAGCTTAGAAGTTAGATTAAATTGTCACACGACGAGCCTCATTACTTATGTACAATGAGTGGTACGTACTAATGAATAGTTCATCTGATATGTATTACGAGTTTTGATAAAATGGACTAGGAATTTAGGGAGATGCTCAAAAAGACCACAACTGGTTAGCAAAATCAGAAACCGAATAGTCGGACATCTATTTACTCCCATGGGGAGCCCCATGTTTATCTGGCTTTGACTTACTATCTACCTATTAAGGAGACCAAAATCAGATATTTATCTATTTACTCCCATGGAGAGCCCCATGTTACCTGGCTTTGACCTACTATTTATCTATTAAGGAGACCAAAATCGGATATTTATCTATTTACTCCCATGGAGAGCCCCATGTTACCTGGCTTTGACCTACTATTTATCTATTATGGAGACCAAAATCGGATATTTATCTATTTACTCCCATGGAGAGCCCCATGTTACCTGGCTTTGACCTACTATCTACCTATTAACGAGACCAAAATCAGTATTATCTATTTACTCCCATGGGGAGCCCCATGTTTATCTGGCGTTGACCTACTATTTATCTATTAAGGAGACCAAAATCGGATATTTATCTATTTACTCCCATGGAGAGACCCATGTTACCTGGCTTTGACCTACTATCTACCTATTAAGGAGACCAAAATCAGTATTATCTATTTACTCCCATGGGGAGCCCTATGTTTATCTGGCGTTGACCTACTATTTATCTATTAACGAGACCAAAATCGGATATTTATCTATTTACTCCCATGGAGAGCCCCATGTTACCTGGCTTTGACCTACTATTTATCTATTATGGAGACCAAAATCGGATATTTATCTATTTACTCCCATAGAGAGCCCCATGTTACCTGGCTTTGACCTACTATCTACCTATTAACGAGACCAAAATCGGATATTTTATGCCGTGGTGCGGCGTCCGTCGTCCGTCCGTCTGTCCGTCCGTCCGGCATCCGTCCGGCGTCAATATTTTACTTTAAATGACTTCTTCTTAATAACCGAAAGGCCTAGGGTGATGGTATTTGGCCAGAAGCAAACTGGGATGAAGGGCTACCAAGTTTGTTCAAATAAATGACCTTCATCTATTTTCAAGGTCACAGGGGTCAAATATGTTAAAAACTTTAAACAACTTCTTCTCAATAACCAAAATGCCCAGGGAGATGATATTTGGTCAGTAGCATGCTAGGGTGAAGGGCTACCAAGTTTGTTCAAATGAATGACCTTCAATTATATTCAAGGTCACAGGGGTCAATTGT